GGACGCCTGAGGGAGAGGATCCAGGGCCTGGACTCCAGTGTGTGAAGGAGGAGAGCTGGAGTCTCTACTCCGGGGTTGCTGAGAGAGGGATAATCTTGCGCCAAAACACGAATAGCATTTGAGGGTCTGGGCCTGGGTGCTAGTACCTGTCTCCCCAAGATCTGGGAGTCAGGCCCTCGCCTTCTCTAGGGCTTCACCAGCAGTCAGGACTTCCCACTCCCAGCCTCAGTGGTGAGCCTGCCTGAGTTGAAAGGCAGCACTCAGTGTGGGGAGATGTTGGGAGTGCTTGGGGCTCAAGTTGCCAAGGCCTACAAGGTCACTTTTCAATCTGGACGTGGGTCACAGAGGCACAGTCCTCAGAACACTTATGGCTCTGTCCCTTCCTCTCTGTCCTGTCTGGTTTTATGTCAACTTGACACAAGCTGGAGTCATCTGAGAGGAGGAAACTCAATTGAGAAAATTCCCCCGTAAGATCGGGCTGTATATAAGCCTGTAGGGCATTTTCTTAATCAGTGATCTAAGGGGGAGGGTCCAGCCCACTGTGGGTGGTACCATCCCTGGGCTGGTGGTCCTGGATTGTGTAAGAAAGCAGGCTGAGAAAGCCAGGGGGAGCAAACTAGTAAGCAGCGCCCCTCCGTGGCCTCTGCATCAGTTCTGTCTCTAGGTTCCTTGTTTGTTTGAGTTCCTGTCTTAACTTCCTTTGATGATGGACTTCAGTGTGGAAGTGTGAGCCAAATAAACCCTTTCCTCCCCAACTTGCTTTTGGTCATGGTGTTTCATCACAGCAATAGTCACCCTAACTAAGACACCCTCAGTTATTTTCTCACCCCCCTTTTCTTTTTGACAGGGTCTTATGGCTCAGGTTGGCCTTGAACTCATGATATGGCCAAGGATAAACTTGAATTTCTGATCTTCTTGCTGGTATTAATGCCTGGTTTGTGAGGTGCAGTGGTTTGAACCCAGGGCTTCATTCATGCTAGGCAAGCACTCTACCAACTGAGCCACATCCCCAGCTTCCTGTTTTTCTGGAACCATGTCTCTATTTATTTCCTCCATCTGCCTTATTTTCTGTAGATCCCTAAAAGAGAAGGCATGGGGATGGCGCAGGGCTGAGGTTATCTCTAGTTGGGGATGGAGATGAGGACTATGGATTATGGATACAGTGGGTCCAGACAGGTGGTCTTGGGAACCAGTCATGAAGACCATCCATGTGTCACAGATACTAAATGAAGGTTTACTCCCAGAGTTAGTGTTTGTCAGTCAAACTCAGTGACATACAAAGTCATGTGTGGTAGTTGGAATGAGAATGACCCCCATGAGACCATAAATTTACATTTTTAGTCCTCTGTTGATGAATTATTTAGAAAGATTAGGAGGTGTAGCCTTGTTGAAGTAGGTGTGTTGCTGGGGGTGGGCTCTGAGGTTTCAAAAGCTCACACCAGGACACCACCCCCCTTGCTGGTCAGGATGCAAAGCTCTTAACTACTGCTGCATCATCTGCTTGCACGCCACCATGCTCCCTGCCATGAAGATGATGGACTAACCCTCTGAAACTCTAAGCAAGCCACAATTAAATTATTTCTTTTGTAAGAGTTGCCTTGGTCATGGTGTCTCTTCATAGCAATAGAACAGTGACTAAGATACACGTTGGTACCAGGGAGCAGGGTATTGCTGTGACGGGCCTGGCCATGCTGGACTTCAGGACTTTGGACTAGAAAAGGGGTTGAATGCTTTAAGAGGGGCTTAATGGGCCATCCTAGTAGGAGCAAGCCAGTAAGCAGCACCCCTCCACAGCCTCTGCATCAGCTCCTGCCTCCAGGTTCCTTCCCCTGTTAGTTCTGCCCTGACTTCCTCCAGTGATAAGTAGTGCTGTAGAAGTATAAGCCAAATAAACCCTTTCCTCCACAATTTGTTTTTGGTCATGGTATTTCATCACAGCAATAGTAACCCTGACTAGGACAGCATGGATGTGGCCATATTCAGCTGTGGATCCATGTGCACAGCTAGAGTACCGATGTGGATGATGCTGTTAGCTGGACCTCACAGTGTAGCTTCAATAACCACAACATTGGAGTTCATATGCATAAATTAATATATAAGGTTAAGACATGGGTAAACACAGACGGTTTCCAGTATAAATTTGGAGAGCTTATGCCCCAAATGCGGATATTTGCACAAGGGATTGGATGTGTAAAAAGGGTGTGTGTGTCTTGAAACGTTTGTGCAGGGGAAGATACTGACATTTGCTGAGGTCCCAACTCTACGTCTGGGAGTTGCTTGGAATCTTGTCTAATGTGTCCTTATGTGTTGGGTCTCTGTGGCTAGGTCTACAATTCCAAATCTCCACCAAGGGGCTTTGTGGGTCCAAGGAGCTTTGTGAGTGAATGGCAGAATTACTTATACTCAGGGCTCTGTGGTACATCGAGTACATGCCCAGTCTAAACCCCTGGCATTCACCATACCAGCCCTGTTTCTTTGAAGAGCTTATTTGATCACACTCTTATTTATTTAACCCGTGAGATGCTGTTGTTTTAAGGGTACAGGGAAGTTCTCTATTTGTATATGTATGATAATGCCTGAAATACAGGACCTCCTTCGTAAACAGTGATTATTTTCATCAAGGGCATATAATATATTTATAGGAGGTTCATAGGGTTAGTCACATTGTGTAGATAAATAAAGTCAGACATATTCACAAAACTAAATAATGATTGTCAAGGGTCATACTGTCATCCACTTCAAAAGTCCATTAGTAGAGGTTCAGAATTGCAGACCCAAACCCTAGAGACCCAGCATCCATATATCAGCCTGCCAGATCAGATTCCAGGAAACTGAAACTCTCAGGCTTAGAGTTGGAAGGTGAAAGCTGCTGAAGATGCACAGAGAGGAGGACAGGAGTCAGGCGGAGGCTGACTCCCACAGAACTGCAACTTGGAGACTCTGGCAGAGGAAACCTTGGCAGGTGGACATGGCTGGAGACAAGGAGCCAGGCAGAAAGGACCAGAAAGAAGGTTAATTTGTGTTCAGTGGGATCCTGGAAGGGCCAGCACAGAGTCCCATCCGTGATGCCAAGATGCTCCCCGCAGTGTCTTCCTGCCTTCCTGTTTCCCTGGGTCTAGACACCCTGTATGGCCTCTCGGCTTCTGTTACCTTCTTCCCTCTGTCTCTGTCCGTCTTCTCTGTCTTGGATGGCTCCCCGACACTGGTCCCCCCCACACTGTCCTCATTGGTGGGAAGACCCACCCCACCACTGACTGTGTTGTTCTGTAATAAACCTTCTGGAAGATTAGAGTTTGCCGCAGGTGCTGGGTCCTAACACTTGCAAAGGAGCACTTGACTGACTGAGTCATCTGCCCAGATCCTCACGGTTTGCAAGTTTGCTTTTCAACTATTAGATTTCTCCTGCCTAGTATTTTTCTGGCCTTGCTTTATGTTTTCATGGTCGATATTGTTAATATCTTGTCCTGTCTCCTTCAGCGTGTTTATTAGGATATTTCTAACTCAACTTGAAATCCAACTTAAATATTTTGGTCACCAAATACCCCTTCACACTTCTACGGTCCAGTCACCAGGACCTTGCGCTGGATTCCCCCTGACTCTCCAGTCACTGTGCTCTCCATCAGAAAGAATTCATCTGAGATGCACAGAGCGTTGTGTAGAAGATGGGAGAGTTTATTGCAGAGAGAGGCGCAAGGGTGAGCATGGACAGTGTCGTGGTCTACACTTTAGGCAGGTTTCACTCTGTTCCTAAAGCCTCCAGAACAGGCAGTTTTTCCTGGGGTGTAGCTAGAGTTTTCCTGCCTGGCCCACAGTCAGGACAAATCTCTGTCACCCGCCAGTCCCACAGCCGCTCAGACCCAACCAAGTAAACACAGAGACTTATATTGCTTACAAACTGTATGGCCATGGCAGGCTTCTTGCTAACTGTTCTTATAGCTTAAATTAATCCATTTCTATAAATCTATACCTTGCCACATGGCTCGTGGCTTACCGGCGTCTTCACATGCTGCTTGTCATGGTGGCGGCTGGCAGTGACTCCTTCCACCTTCCTGTTTTCTCTGTTCTCCTCTCTGTTAGTCCCGCCTATACTTCCGGCTTAGCCACTGGCCAATCAGTGTTTTATTTATTGACCAATCAGAGTAATTTGACATACAGACCATCCCACAGCACTGGGGTACTTTGTTTTGTCTGTGTGACTAACAGGCCTAGTTGGAGGGGGTAGTGGAGCATCCATGTTCTTCTTCAGTCTCCTGTGAGGGTGTAATCCCACAGAGTATCAGCTCCTGGGGTAGCTCAGGACATCACATCCTATCCTGGAGCCACAGCTGTGACTCAGACCCTGCTCTTCTGAGCAGTAATTAAAGTCCAGCAGTGCCTGGGTTTCACAGGCTGTGGACAGTGAGGGAGGGGTCCAGCCCTACCCAATGCCTCCAAGTCTGTCATCAGGAGGCCTCAGCGGCCCGCAGGGTCCCTCCCAGTGGAAGGCTCCCCAGGCTAGCGGCTTGCTCTGTCAGCAGCAGTTCCTCACAAGGCCCTCACATCCTGCCAGCCTTCAGGGAGGTTGACAGCACAATTCCACTCTCCCCAGGAGAACCAGAGTTCTCGAACCTCAGCCTGACTCCCGGAGTACCTGCTGTCATCCTGATCCTGAGTACAGGCTTGTGTGGTCCCATGTGCCCAGCCATGCCCTACCTCCCCAGCTGTGACACACACACACCCGAAGGTCTCCTGTGTCCTGCGTGGAGTGCTGGGTGTCCCTCTAGCCATGGACTTGGGTGGGATTCCTTCATGCACAAGGGTGTGAAGAGAAAGCAGTGGGGTCACCACCATGTCCCCAGCGAGTGCAGGGTCGTCTCCACCCTCACTTTCTTCTGCATGCCACCCCCATCAGCTTATCACAGGATGTAGCTCTTCCTCCTCACGCCTCCCCTCCTCTCCCTCTCCCCACATTTCCTCTCTCCTCCATTTCCCCCTTTCCCCTCTTTTCTCCTTCTCTTCCGTCATCCCCTGATCAGTAGAAGATTTCCCAGGAGGCCTGGGCACTCGACCATGAGATCCCTCACAATGGCGGCTGCCTCAGACTTCCCGGTCTGAGAGGTCTCAGCACAGCGAAGCCTTGGAGTAACAGTCTGTGCTGACAGTGTGACTGTAGGTGTGAACCTGGACTTGGGTATCTGGGGTCCTGGCCCTGCCCTGCCGACACTGGAGGTGGACAGGATGTCAGTCACGTGGCCCCCTTTGAGTACAGAGCACCCCGCACACCAGGCTTGGCCAGCTGCCATGGACAGGAGCCCTCTGGCCGCGTCCTCACACTGGACAGGTCCTCACACGCCACAGTCCATAGGAGCCACTGGACAAGTGGTTGTAGGGTTTACCTCTTCAGTCCACAGTCCGCCTGAGAGCTTGTCTCTGGATCTCTAGCTGCTTGCTGTGGTCTCTACCCATGACTCACCTTAGCACCACATCTGCAGTGACTGTGAGTCCTACTGTTAACTGTGGTTTGTGGTCACCAACACCCATGTAGTGAATAAGCTTCCCCACTCTGTGGTCCTCCTCCCTTGCCCCAGCCCTGTAACACGGGGTGACCTCCTTCCTCTGCTCAGAATGTCCTTAGGCATCCTGGTGCCTCCAGAAAAATGAGGGTGACATTTTAGCATCACCCCACTATGTGCCAAGTTGCACGGGCCTTGGATCTCGCTCGAGGCTTTGCGGATTTGTCATCGTGTACCTGTGTCCTGTCTCCTGGGTGTCCCCCTTCCTCCATCTCTGAAACACACACATGCCAGGCCACCACCACCTCCTTCTGCCTGAGCAGTTTCTAGACCTGCTGTGTTCTCCAGACGGGAGGAGCACATGGAAGCCCTCTGAGGCCTGCTGGCTCCCACATGTCTCAGCTCTTTCTTCCTGTTAAAGTCATGAATCTATACCCAGCACCTGAGCTGGGAGGCTTAGGGGGTTTGGGTTCTGCCAGCTGAGTCCTGGGCCCCCAGGTGCCTAGAGCCCAGAAAAGGGGCACAGCGAGGAACATAAGATGATGGATGTCAGGTTACTAAGGAAGACACGGAGACCCCATGGGTTGTCCCTCATGGTGACTTCAATCCTCTTCTTGTATAGCTTCAACTTGTTGAACATGCTAGGCCATCTAGGCCAAGCATGGGGATTACCACCACAGGATGTCATACCTTGGAGTAGCCCGTCACAGATGAGTGGGCTTCCAGAGTCACCCTAAGGGGAGAAGGCACAGAGATAGAGTGAGAAAAGACACCCCACTTTCTCTCTGGGGTGCCTCATCTCTCACACATGACCACCACCAGATTACTGGCTGCAGCCTCCCAGTTATGCCTTCCAGAAGAAGGCAGGATAGCCTTTCAAAAGGGGGCGTAGCCTGGAGCCCTGGGAAAGGGGGAGGGGAAACTGCAGCTCCTGTATCGAGGGCAGGGTCCCCAGTCAGTACAGGGATCAGAAGGCAGGCCTCCCAGGTCAGCATCGAGGGAACAGAGGCAACACTTCCACCCTTGGTCACCTCATGGCCCCCTCCTCATGAACTGTTCCCAGAACAGATACCCTACTACACGGAGAGCTGTAAGCGGGGCAGGGAAAAGCCAGCTCTGACATTGGAAGGCGGCGGGGTGAGATCAGGTGAGGGTAAGACTTGGAGTCTGCACCCAGCTCCGCGCTGACATACTCCCTCCACTTCTGCCTTCCTGCAGTCTGATCTAATGGACACTAGAGGGCGCTTGTGAGCAGAGCCAACTTTTCCAGGCTCTGCTCCGCACCGCAGAGGGTAAAAGCATCCCAAATGGCCCAGTTGAGACCCTGCAGGAAGCGATCTCCTGTCTGCTCTGACCCCTCCCTGTCTACACTGTCTGCTGACACTTAGCTAGTCACAAGCCCCTTGGCTGTCCCTCAACCCTCCAGCCCCTCTCCCCGGGGACCTGGCACTTGCTCTCCCCTGACACCATAGGGCACCCCTCCACAGGTGTTACCTCAGCTCACCTTGCACACAGCAGCCCCTCCTACCACAGGTGCGCCTCCTGCCCTCGCGGGCCTCTTGCCTGCCCCATGGCTCCACAGCCTTATGACATCCCACCCCATCAGGTCTGAGCCGTGTTTCAGGGCACGGGGGTTCAGGAGGCCCCTCAGGAGGGGGCGCTCTTCAGTGGAACTGCTTGAAGTTGTGCAGGGTGCAACTTTCCTGAGCCATCACCTATGCCCGGCCAGGCTTTTTGGTGATACAGTTGACTTTACGTCACCCACGCGCCCGAAGCTAATCCCAATAACTCGTGAACTCACCAAGATGGATGGAATTAGTATGCTGTCTTCTCTGTCTGTGATGAGTAGGAACAGTTGCCCAGGAAGAGCAATGCAACGTCCCAGCCCCATAATGGTGCTCGGGGGGTGGGGGTGGGGGGTTGCTCTCTGCTCACTGTTGGCTGCCCAAGGTCTACTGTGGTCACGGGCACCTGGGAGATACCTAAGAAGAGGTGTTCATAGGCTGAGACCACTGGAGTGGGAGAGTGAGAGACATAGTGTGCCTTGTTAAAGCAGGGGAGCCTTCTGACACACTGGGGGGCTGATGGGCTGCAGTTTCTAAGCAGCTGAGGAGATGCTGGCTGGGCCTCAGCCCAGAATCAGGTTCCTTTGCTCTTGTCCTCTCAGAGTCCTAGGGAATGGAACTGCTTACCATGCGAGTATCTTTGTCGTCTTCCTCGTACCCAGCACACAGCATGAATTCTGCCACCCTCTGCAAATGAATTCTGTCACCCTCTGCAAATGAATTCTGTCACCCTCTGCAAATGAATTCTGTCACCCTCTGCAAATGACTTCTGTCACCCTCTGCAAATGACTGTCTTGCAGTCATCATCGGACACGAGACAGACGTCCACACACCGCAGCTTCCTTGCTCTGATAGCTGTAGGCCAAGAGAATACAGCCATGGCAGGTACCCAGCAGCCCAGAGGCCCAGCAGCCCAGCTGCCCAGTTTCTTCCAGAACTGTGCTTCCTGCTCCAAGGGATAGGGTCTGGCCCAGGCACACACTTATCTGGCCTGATGCTGCCCCAGCCAGATGCCAGGCAGAGGCTCTCCAGCTCAGGCTCCTCAGTGGGCAGGCTCAGCACCCTCATAAACTCTGTGATGTCAGCTGGCTTGCTCAGCCGCAGCAGCATCAGCTTGTGGCTGTTGTCGGTGTGGCTGAGAAATCTGGGCTTTAGGAGGCTCGTGTTGTAGAGTGGGTGTGGGACTCAGTGGCTGACAGGAACGTGCTAAGCAGGGTCTTCATCCGCACACGGGCTGCGTTGACCCAGCCCCACCACGCCGTTGCTAGGGAGGAAGCAGGAATGAGGGAGAAGGTGGGGGCTAAGGAATCTGGGCGAAAGGGGGAATGAGAGGAGAAGGGGATGGGGAACGAGAGGGAGGAGAGCAGAAACAATGAGAGAACGCTAGATGGGGAGAGAGTGGAAGACAGACAGGCGGGAAAGAGAGCATCCAGGCTGACGATGGCCCAGTGGATAAAGGCTTGCTAGTGTGAGGACCTGACTTTAGACCATCAGAGCCTACGTGAAAAGCAGGCTGAGTGGTGCATGCCTTGCAGTCCCTGTGCTGAGGACACAGACACAGCACGATCCCAAGAGCTGCCTGGCAGCCAGCTATGCTGAACATTTGAGTTTTTTTGAAAAAAAAAAAATAGGGATGGAGAATGGCTGGATAGATGACGACTCAGCGGTTAAGAGCACTGGCTGCTCTTCCAGAGGACCTAAGTTCAAGTCCCAGCACAAACACAGTGGCTCACGACTGTAACTGCAGTTGCAGGCCATCTTCAGGTCTCCAGGCACCAGGCACACACATGGTGCACAGACATACATGCAGGCAAAACACTCATATAGATCATTTTTTTATTAAGATGACTTAATAGAGAAGATGGGGTCGGTGAGACAGCTCAGGGTGTGTGGGCGCTTGCAGCCAAGCCGCATGACCCAAGTTCAATCCTAGGACCCGCATGGTGGAGGAGGGAACTGACCACTGCGGGCTGTCTTGTGACCGCCAGTTGTGTGCATTGGCATGCATACTCACATATACACGTACTCACACACACACACCAAATGCATGCGATACAAGAGGTTGAAAAACATAAGCTGGAGAGCAAGAGAGGGAGGCAGCTGACAGCCACCTTTGGCCTCCACATGCACACTCACACTCACACACACACACCAGCAGCACACACACATACACCACACACACATGACTGAAAGGAGAGAGCTAGAAAGGAAAGGGAGGAAGGGGGCAGGGAAGAGCACCATGAGAAAGCACATGGGAGCAGCAAGGACGTGGATGAGGAGAGGGGAGCAACCGGGACGGACGAAAGGCAAAGAAGAGTAGACAGAGCGGGCGAGGGAGGCGGGAAGTAAAGAGAGAACGAGAAATGGAACAGAGAGGCCACTCAGGAGCACCAGGGCTGGCCTGAGCTTCCCTGGCCTGCGGGCTCTGGCCACAGCCCCAGGTCTGATCCCATTTTCTCCCAGCTCCCTGCCCACACTCTATACTCACCCAGTTGCCCTCCCCCACACCCAGCTCAGCCCAGCCTCCCTCCGCGTGTCCCCAGAGTGGACAGGTTGGCCAGGGGAAGCTGAGGACTTCTCTCACACATGCATGCTGGGGACACCTCTTCCCGTCTGCTTGGTTCCGCTCAAGCCTGTTCTCCAGTGTGGCCAGTAGAAATGGAAGAGGGAGGGTGAGACCCAGACCCAGAGAAGGTTGGCCAGAGACCTGGAGGGGGAGACACACAGTGACAGAAAGAGACACCCAGAGGAGGACAGAGATGTCACCCAGGGGAGACACACAGACAAGGAGACAGGGAAGGAGAAGAGACCAAAACCCAAACCCAAGGCCACATGGTCACACAGAGGACAGGATGCCAAGGGACAGCAAGACAGGGACCTGGGGAGAGACCCAGGTGGTCATGGGGTGGAGGTGGGCCAGCCCCAGCTCTGCCGCCCCCAGGCTTCCTGAATCACCATCCTTCATCCCTCAGACCCCTATCTCGCATGAGGTCATTCAAGGAGGAAGGTGACATGTCTTCCTTGAAGAATAGAAGGCCCCCTCCCACACTGCCCTTCTCCTACTAATGTGTTTAGGAGATGGATTCCAGGGCCTCTAGCATGCCAGCCTCTGGCCACAAGCCACATCCTAGCCCATCCTACCGGCTGAAGCAGTGGACAGCTGTGAGCACCCACTGGGGGTGCACCAGGACACCCCCACACAGGGCCCTGCCATAATGATACACAGCCACCTGCCGGGGTTGGGAATGTCTCTCACACTCCCAGCCACTGATGATCCTGGACTCCATGAGGGGCCGGGCACCTGTAGAAAGGAATGCTGGGTGGGGCCCGGGGTTGGCATGGAAAAGGGGTGGGGGGGGAGGGGAAGCTGTCCTGTGGGTGTGGAGGGACACGGGCAGAGGACCAGGACTGAGGTCAGGATTAAGGGGTGCTAGAATGGACTGAATTTTAGGAGTGTCACCTGGTGTGTGACCTGATTAGAGAGACGTTATGCTCTGTGCACAAAGCTGACCTCAGACAGCAGCCTGGGAGACAGCTGATGAAGTCAGTGTCTGGAGCTGCGTGGGCTCCAGGGATTTGAGGGGAGCAGGGGCATGGGACGGGTGAGAGTGTGAATTGTGGGTTCTCAGGGACAGAGAGTTCCTGAAGTGGAGGAGTGAGCTCCCGTGGGTGATGTCTGCTTGTTGGGAGGGGATCCTGCGTAGTGCTGAGGGAGCAGAGTGGGAAAGGGCAGGGACAGACTAGATTGCAAATTTCAGGGGGTGTAACCCAGGAAGCTGTTCTAGGGAACCGAGGCTTTGATCACCCCCGCCCCACTGATGAGAGTTCAGAGTCAGAACAAGGAGGAAATTCCAGAACCCCAATTCCAGATTGCAGGGTTAGGGGGCTCTTTGGTCTCAAAAACAGCATGCGTCATGGGACCTGTGTTCCCAGCAACAGGACTGGGGGACAGAAGTCAGGTTGAGGGCTAGCGTGACAGTGACGCCCGTGAGAACCGCAGTCTGTCTCAGTTGGGCTAAGGAGGCTGCAGTGCAGACTGGCGGCCTCCAGTGGAGGATTCCGAATCCCACAGTGACAGACAGAGATGACCCGGGACCTGCCCCTGAGGTAAAGTGCCTGGGGGCAGGGAGTGGACAAGGGGGATGAGGAGATGCTCCAGGGCCTCAGGGTACATTCAGAAGACAGGGAGTGGGAAGGTCTGTGCAGCATGGAGGGGCGGAGATGGGGTCTCACGCTGGCACCACCAGAAGTAAGAGCCCAGTCCCCGGTCCTAAGCAGCTGGGCTGCTGGCCTGAGGAAGGACTTATGGGGGAGAAGCTGGAGGAGTCTGGTCCCCTTCCCTTCCCATGCACCCCCAAATTCTCACCACATTTCCCCAGAGACAGGATGAGACACAGAAGCAGGCACCACATGGTGGCGGGTGTCCAGGACGGGCGGTGAGCTGGGAGCTGAGTGTCCCTGCAGGCTTATAAAGTCTTCGTTCCTGCACAGCCCCTCCCGCCCTGCTGGCATGAAGAGGATGCCAGCCCACCTCCAGGTCTGCACGGAGGGCTGTGACTGGGCATGAGAACTGCATCTTCTTGTTCTGTGACGTGGATCACACTGGATGGGTCCTATGGTCTGAGCCCTGACCGTGGAAGGGCTCATAGGCAGGGAGTTTGATCAAGGAAGCGGAAATTTTGGGAGAGAGTGAAAGAACAGTGCTGTGACTAGCCCTCTATGCAGAGTCTCATCAAGTAAACGCCGATTAAGTCCTTTCCCCCAAGTCTCAATGACCAGTGCCATCTGGGCTGTGAGCTTATCAGACCCCTGCACCACTATCAGCCCAGAGGCTAATTCTCCAAAACCTCTGAAGAGTTATTTAGTTTTTATATTATTTGTGTGTGTGGTGTGGTGTGGTGCGGGGTGTGTGTGTGTGTGTGTGTGTGTGTGTGTGTGTGTGTAACGTGTCTGCCGTTATATGCTTCTGTGTGTGGGCATGGAGACCAGGGGAGGACTGCATGTCCCTCTCTATCATTCTCCACCATACTCCTCAAGACAAGGTCTCTCAGTGAACCAGGAGCTCCCCTGTGGTGGCCAACAAGGCCCAGTGGTCCTCCTCCCTCCACCCCCAACATAGATGGGGATTTCCGGTGTGTGTGATGGTGCCCTGTGTGTTTGTTTGTTTGTTTGCTTTGGTTTTTAGAGACAGGGTTTCTCTGTGTATCCCTGGCTATTCTGGAACTCTCTTTGTAGACCAGGCTGACCTTGAACTCGCAGAGATCTACCGAAAACAAGAAAAGGTCTAGCCTATATTGTTTGCTCCCAGGGCCAGTGGAAGAGTCTACCAACCAGCTGAGGATTCTAATCTGAGGGATATTCAATGAATCTAAGCACACTGTGTTCTTTAGTCCATTCCTTTAGTCTTCTAAGTAAATTCTATCTGCACAGTTTCTTTTCTGTTCTCATACTTAGCTCTTCTCAGTCCCTCCTGCGCTCAGTCCCTTCTGCTGTTCTCTCATTTCTATCTAGTTCTTTCCATCTCTGTCTTCATCTTTGTTCTTCTGAATCAATTTCCCAAGGGCTGTGTGGGAACCGGTATGTATACACAAGCAGTAATTCTTTGGCAAAGCAAGGTGAGGCTTGAAGTTTTCAGGGTTGCAGAGAGAGATGATAGGGATCCACACATAAAGCAATAATTATCAGCTTCCAATTACAACCCCAAAAGGGGAGTGACTAGAGGGGAGTTCTCTGGTAGGGTCAACTGAAGGCTAAGATCAATAAGGGAATTTATGTGCTCAAACTATAATCTAGAAGTGGCTAGGTAGAAAGTTAGGGGTCAGTAAGTCACTAAAATGTAAACTGTCTTTGGCACCTCCTTTCTGGAAGGGAGGGGGAGGTATGATCGGTTGCTAGGCAACCTAGGTCAGAGCAAGTAGCATTTGGTCAGTAAAAGCACTTTCATTCAGAGTAATTGTTGAGGAGAAAATCTAGGAATAGTACCTGGCTGAGGAGGAATTAAAACTTAATTTGCACAGGAAACGAAGCTTGGCACCTATCGCTCGCCTGGCCTTATCAGATATCTTCTTAGGTCAGTGGGAAATATCTACCTTAACTCAGTAACTAGCAAGTAGCTAAAATCACATCATCCCAGGAATGTGAGCAGGAAATCTCTTAAGTTAGGATCTTATATGAATAACCTGGGGTGAAGGTAAGGACTTGGGGATTTAATTGCTAGTGGTTATTTCCTCTTATCGGTAAGTGAGATGAACAAATGTTTATCTATGTGCAGTTTTGTCCTTGGAAAAAAATCATCTTAGCTGAAATGCTTTTGTCCCGAGAATGGCCCTGACCAGATGTATGTTAATAAAAAATAAACACAGCTGGGGACAGTTTTCCACCCAAAATATATAAGGAAAGTTGTGCCCAAGACAGAGATGTAGTCATGGAGTTACATGTACACATAACATGGAAATGCACAGTAAATGGGGAGAATCGTAGCTGTTATTGCACAAGAAGTTTACAACAAGAAAAAGTCAATTCATTCAAAAGGCAGTAATTCCATCATGCCTACCGTGATTGTTTCCTGTAACAGAATCCTTAGTTCTGACAGGTTGGCCTTCTGAACTCTAGTTGTCACCTGCTGTATACTCCCATGGACTTTGCTGCCAGTGGCTCTCAATAGAGACCTCCTTCCCGTGCCTCTCAAATGCTGGGATAAAGGTGTGCACCACCACCATCCAGGAACAGTGCAACAAACCCCCCTTTTAAAGGGTTCTGGGGATTGGAACTCAGATCTGCTGGCCTGCCAAGTGCATTTCTCCCCAGCCCCAATCTCCAGTTTCTAATGCAGCTGGAACAGTCTCAGAACGCAATACTCCTCATGATAAATGCTGTTGTTCATAGACTCGCCTACCCAGCGCCCTCCAATCAGGAAATGGGAGTCTCCATGACTAAGACCCTAGTATGTCAAAGTCAGTCTTCATGTGAAGGATTGGGGTTCAATGACCTCCCTAGGCACCTTCTACTCCCATGCTGTCTCCACGGATCACCATATCCTCTCAGGCCAAGAGCATCCTGTCAAAACAACAACAACAACAACAACAACAACAACAACAACAACAACCAGCCCAGTGTCGTCTCCTCAGGACATCACTCAGACCCAGATTTGGGATTTGGTTGGATTTCAAATCTCATTGATGTGTCACAGAAGAGAATCAGAACAAAAGCCTGGCCACTTCCTTGATTAACTCTCCCCAACTGCACCCTAGTCCATTCTCTCCAATCCTCATCCTCTGTCCTCAACAAACTCAGTATCTGAAGTGGTCAGAGGAACCCAAATGCCAGAACATCCTGATGCTCAGTCAGACCCCACGCTTGTCACCATGGGTCCCTCTCAACTAGGGCCACAGAAGAGTTCCCACCTCCACCCCCGCCCTGCACATATCATGCTAAGTACCAGGCAGCCTGACTAGTCCTTGTTCTAGACATGCCTGAGACCCTGGGGTATCAGCACAGTCCAATAGACCTGAGAGACCTGGGAGGCCAGTGGAAGTGGATGATGCCCCTAAAGGCAGGCTCTTCCTGCTTCCACCCAAAAGCCATGGAGAGTCCATCACTGTGAAAGCCTGGCCTTCCTCAAGCCTCTTTCCACCAGGTTCCCTTGGGTCACAGGCTGTTTATCTGACCCAGCTTCCAGGTAGCATCACATGAGCTATCCCTAGAAAAGAGACAAGGGAGCTTGCTGGCCTGGGAAATGGGTGAGGGCTACTTGCAGGAACATTATGTCATGGCAGTGGCTATATACCTCACAGTCTGGTTTCTGGGTGAGGCAGGATAAGACCCCAAACCCCAGGGCTTTGCACATGGCTCAAGGTGCTATCTCTGGAGCACCCTGTGGAGGGAGGGGAAGAAGGAGAAACCATAGAAGGCAGAACCTGCTTCTCCATCTCTTTGGAAACTTAGTGATCTCAAGTCTTCCCTGAGAGCCTGGACCAATTGTTCCTATCAGGGTCGTGGAGCTCCCAGCCACACACAGCTGGAATGAGGCCCCTAGGCTTCCAGTTCTTTCTTTCAAGGATGCAGGAATCCTGGGCACCTTGCAATATTCCCATCTCAGTATTGAAGAGCTGAGGCCTCTCCAGTGTGCCCCCTCAGGAGCCTCAGGTGCTGGACCTACACCCTCTTCACCCAGAGCCTGACCTCAACCTCTTCCTCTTTCAGAATACAGCATTCCAGCCCTTTCCAGTCCCACCCATGGTCCTCAACTCAGCCAAGCCCCACAGAGTCTAACCCTGCCTGTCTTCTGGACTGACAACAGGCTGCTGTAGACACTGTCAGGAGCTGGACCTGCAACCTTGGTTACCAAGGACATGAGGAATGTAGCTGTCAGAATATTTCATGACACACTGTTGAGGTGCTCTGAAGATGGGGGAGGCCTGAGCAAAGTGCTGAGCAGACAGGAGTATGCTATGTCTCCTCCAGCCAGGCCGTCACTCCTGCCCCTTCCCAGGATACCCTTCAAGGATGTTTGTACAGCAGGCAGCGTTAGGAGATGGCATCTCCCAAGATCAGCTTTGCTTGCTGTCCTAGTAATAAATGTACTGTCTCTCTTACAACCAACTTCTTTACTGCTAGGACAATAAACATAAAGTCTGTGGTGGTGGATTTGTTTTTAGCCTAGGCTAATAAAGATAGCATGTCTACAGAAATGAAAACTGGGTGTAGCCGGAAGTTTTCCTGTGTCCTGCCTAGTCCCTCAGTCGCTCAGACCTGAGTAAGCACACAGAGGCTTATATTAATTACGAACTGCATGGCCTATGGCTCAAGCTTCTTGCTAGCTGCTCTTATATCTTAAATTAACCCATTTCTATTCATCTGTGTTTTGCCACCTTTTCCATGGCTTTACTGGTCTGCTGGCATGTTGTTCCTTGGGTGGCAGGCTGGCCTCTCTCCTCTTCTTTCTCTTCCTGTCTGTCTGCTTGGATTTCCACCTGCCTCTAAGCTGCCTTGCCATAGGCCAATGCAGCTAATTTATCAACCAGTTAGAACAACACATATTCACAGCATACAGAAAGACATCTCACAGCAACTGGGTGTTCCTCCACAGGGCCCCTGATGTACTCAGGAGGTTTGTCTTTGTGTGTGTGTGTGTGTGTGTGTGTGTGTGTGTGTGTGTGTACACGTGTACTTAAATTTTTATTTTTGCAGTGGTAGGGATTGAATCTAGGAGTTTTCATGTGGTGTGGAAGCAGTCTACCACTGAGTCACACCCCAGCCCCTCACTGGGGGATTCTAGGCAGGGGCTCTACCACTGAGTCACACCCCAGCCCCTCACTGGGGAATTCTAGGCAGGGGCTCTACCACTGAGACACACCCCAGCCCCTCACTGGGGGATTCTAGGCAGGGGCTCTA